ACAAACAAGTGCAAATACAGTATATAGAGGAAAAAAGCCCAACATTTTCTTCTTGCCTTATCATTTATAATGCAAACACATAATTATGTAATCTTCTTGGAGACACGTTATTAAGCAGACATTTGTTTTCTAAGACAACCTTGGCAATAAGTGCAGAGCCATTTGCATTTTATAATTGCTTCTGTTAGCAAACAACCCGTTCCTTGGTTGTAACATTATGTTGGCACTTAGAGGCCATTGACTAAGCAATTTGAGAAACCAAACCCACGTTAAACAATTTCCAATCTGTTTATTGTTAATATAACTGATTTGATGTGGCGTGGATTAACGCCTACATAGCGCACATACAACTGCATGACAAAGAAGTGGATGCCATACTTTTAACACAGAGAGCCAGTCTGTGTGTTTGGCAAGGAAAGCGATGCCTCAATTTTCTACACAGCCATGAAATGAAGGGCTTACCTTGGGTTAAAGGTAAAGGGACCCCTGACTGCTAAGTCCAGTCACAGATGACTCTGGGGTTGCGGCGCTCATCTCGCTTTACTGGCTGAGGGAGCTGGTGTTTGTCCACAGACAGCTTCTGGGTCATATGGCCAGCATGACTAAGCTGCTTCTGGTGAACCAGAGCAGTGCACGGAAACACCGTTTACCTTCTCACCGGAGCGGTACCTATTTATCTACTTGCACTTTGACGTGCTTTCAAACTGCTAGGTTGGCAGGAGCAGGGACCAAACAACAGGAGGTCACCCTGTCATGGGGATTCGAAACGCCAACCTTCTGATCGGCAAGCCATAGGCTCTGTGGTTTAGACCACAATACCACCCACGTCCCTTACCTTGGGTTAGACATTCTCTAATAGTCAAGGCTACTTTGCAAGGGAAACATGCCCAATGCTTTGAGCACCTTGAAGAAGGACACAATAAAAGCATAATAATAGGTAAGATATCAGGCTTAATATCAGCAGTGGTTTGGTTTGTCAGGTGCTAGCATCCAGGCAGGTGGATCACTGTTGCTTACCAGGAATGAGAGGAGGAGGAGCAAAGCAACAGGGAGGAGGCTCAGCACCCATGGAGCCAATCCAGCATTCCTATCAGTGTATTTGCACTGCCCTGATCTCCCTGTTATCCTCTTCCTCCCAATAAGCAGTAGCAGCCTAGTTTCCTAACTAGTGTAGCAGTTCAACCCCACCCTGCAATCTGCTTTTCAAATACTGAAATCATGCTTTCTCAGCCTTAAAAAAGACCACAAAACCTACTAACCCACAGATTTATTTATTTTACTATCTAGCCTGCTAAGTCACATATAACTTAGACAGGGATAGACAGGGATGTCAGTTCTGGTTTTCTCCAGCTTCTTATTTTACCAACAAAAATTAAACAGCATTTCAGTACCTATTTCTCAGAATATACCTACATATATTTATATGCAGTTTTGGGTAAAACACACATTTGGGCAAGCCATGTCCCCTAGTAGAATGCATTTTTGCAACTTGTTTTCAATAATATATGCATTTTTTCACACACTTCCCCTAAAATACACATTTACTTTTTGGTTGATGAACTGCATCAACAAATTTGAAGAAGTGCAAATTTCAAAGGATAGGCGAGTCTCTGTTTGCATACTGTTTGGGGAATTGCAAATTAAGTTTATACTAAAATGCAAACTGAACTGAATTTCCCCCCTCATTCCTGTTTGTGGCCATATCTATGTTAGACAGTGGCACACTGGGCAGCCTGAAGGAGATTTTAAAAATTCTCATTCCCAACTACAAATGCTTCTCAGCTTGGTTGCCTCAGAGTAATTCTTTTCTACGTGTGGGCAAGTGAGCGTTAGTACGAGACTAGGCTATGATATCCTTTTATTCATGTAATATAGATTTACCCAGGCAGAAGTTCACATTTGGACAACCTAGCTTGAACTGTCCTGGGGAAAGAAGAGATGATCTGCTTTCTGTGCCCATTGAGTAGCATGTTAAAAACATACAGCAAAATATAGAGAGCAGATCCCAAGGCCCAAATTAACTTACACAGGAAGGGGGGGGGTGTCTGAGAAGCTGAGCAAACAGACGGTACTAAAGGCAAAGTTCTAGGCCTTGCTGACAAATTAAAACTTGAGAAATCACCAAGTCCAAGTTGGTATCCACCTGAGAGCGCTTTAAGAACTCAAATGGTAAATTGCCTTGAGTCCCTGTCAGACAGAAGGGTGATGTAGTATATTAGTGCTACAAAAAAATATGTAAATATGGCTCTAAGATCAGCTTCCATACCAAAAGATTAGAAAGTGACCAACATAAAGCAATTTAAAAGGAGGGATACAGATGGAATCTAGCAAATTAGAGGCCAGTTAGCTTAAATTTGTTCCTGGAAAATTGACAAAAAGCATTTTCAAAGATAGAATTAGGAAGCATATAAGAGGTCTTGCTGAAGCAGAACCAGAATGGCTTCTTCAATAGTAAGTCATGTTTCATTAACCTTTCAGAGATCTTTGAGAGTACTATCAACAAGCATCTAGATAGAGGTGAGCCTGGTGACATTGTACTTGGACTTCCAAAAACCTTCAACAATGTTCCTCATCAAAGGACTCTTGAGAAAGCCTAGCAGTCATGGAGTAAGAGGAGAGATCCTCTGATGTATCATTAACAGGTTAAGAAAAGGAAAGGAAAGAACAGTTCATTCTCCCAATGCAGAGATGTAAAAAGTGGGTTCCCCTGAGAATTAGTATTTGGACCTGTGCTTTTAAACTTCTTCATGATTTATCTAGAATTGAGTAAGCAGTGGGATAATCAAGTTTGCTGATAATACCAAATTATTCAAAACGATCTCTCCGAACTGGGTGAATGGGCAGTAAAATGGCAAATGCAGTGTAAACAACTGTAAAGTGATGCACATGGAGTGAAAAATCCTAATTTCACTTACGCTTGTGGAGTCTGAACTGGTGATAGCTGACCAGGAATGAGACCTTAAGGTTGTAGTAGATAGATTGATGAAGATGATGTTGACACAGTTTGTGGCAGCTGTGAAATAAAGGCAAATTCCATGTTAGGGATCATTAGAAAAGGAATTGAAAATAAACCGCTGAGATCATAATGCAATTATACAAATCCATGTTGTGACCAAACTCTGGGAGCATGGTGTACTCATTGTCATGCTGGAATTCTGGGAGTTCCAGCTTTTGGTTTCTTGTCCTTATTAGTAAAAGGATATTGAAGAATGGAACTAGAAAAAAATTGCAGCAAAGTCTGCTTCTCATTCATTTTATATTTCAGGAAAGTTATTTCTGAATAAGAACAATTATTTCATACTGCAGTTCAGAGAATCCACTCAATATATGTATGAGCAAGAGCATTGTTCCTAGTCAAGAGCATGAAGTCCTCTAAATCTTAGATTCTCAGGCATGAACTCAATGAATAACCTTAGGCTAGCTACTGTTTCTCCCATCTGTAACATGATGGTACTGTTAAAATCTTCTGAGCTATAGTACATGAAGGGTTTTGAGCTATACAAATGCCAAGTATTGTTATTGTTCCCATTGTAACTATCAGTACTGAACTAAATGCTTGCTCCATAGTGTCTGATAAATAAACCAAATTGTATTCTTTTAAACCTCCTGGGGACTCACTTCAGCTTAATGTACTGTTTCCTGTCTCAGATGTGACTACATTCTCTGCAGCTGCAAAGAAAGAAGTTGCTTACTGTTGTTCTGAGAACAGAATTGGGTGCTACATTGTCTTACAGCAATCTCTTTAGCAGGTGTACCACAAACCAAGTTAAAAACATAAGTTACTGTCACTCTTGCACATACAGTAGTACATATGTGGGTGGTCCTTCTGCCTGGTTCCTTAGTGTGGCTTTTCCAATGGTGTGACGCGTGACTCTTGATAAAGGCTTGATTGATAAAGAGTCAGTTCTCAACATAAAACGAGCAGAGATTCTATGAAGCTTCCTTGTTTTATATTACCAACCTGATCTATAACATACATGAGAAAACGCCATCATGGATTTAAGATATATTGACCCCTATTTATATAGCATTGCAATTTAATGTTTATAAATAGACTGCTGATATATGCGGTGAAATACCAATATTTTGCAGGCAGCATAGGAGCTTTTAACCCTAGCGCAAGATATGCTTCTCTGTTTACATTAGCGGCACAGAAAGAGCCAAGCATTAAAAAAATTATGTATGTGCAGAATTGCCCCTCTACCGGGCATTGCTTATGCAGAGCTAAATATTGCTGAAGAGCTTCTTACGTGAAGTAGGATTTCCCAAGAAAGGTTTTTTACATTGTTTTTTTACGTTTCTCAGCACGTTGTAGCATTACATTTCAAAAGAGAATGCCTCTATCCAACACAGTCCATAAATGTCTATGAATTTCTCAACATCACTCCCCCAAATTAGCAAAATATTAAGCTCAGTATTAGCACCATAAATTGTCACACTACACATCTAAAGATACAAAAGACTTTAACCTTTACAGGCGTATCTCATATTCTCTCAGTCTTGCTTTAAATGGGGATAAAACATGGCCCATTGGGTGAACTGGAATCTTTTCTTAGATGTGCACCTTGAAGCAGACAGAGAATTGTTTTTTACACTGTTCCGTTATTTATTACTCTGCCACCACATGCATCTAGCTATATTTTCATAATGGCTTTATGGTTGCCCTTGTGGAATGTGAAAGACTTTGGCACTTTCCTGAGAGAAAATACACTACCCATCATTAATGCAGCCAGGAGCACACTTGAGAATATGGAAGAACTTCAGAGAGGAAAAAAAAAAAGTTTAATCCAGAACCTAAGAAAACTGCCATAACCACCACATCGTCTTTTACTTGTTCAGTCTAATCTCCATCTTTTCTGGATTGACCTGCATGTATGGCCCTGGAAGCATTAGTGTCCTCGTCACTCTGCTTTGTCAAGAGAGAGAGAGAAAAAGATGGGCTGTGTGTCTTCTACCCACTGATGCACCACAGCCCAAACTGTTTCATTATCTTCCCCCAGTGGCCTCACATACATGTTGAAAGGAGAGAGGACAGAATGAAACCTTGTGGAATCCCGCATGAAAGAGAGACCGCGGGGCAGGTGAGCAATTGCCCAGTATCATCCTCTGAGATCTCTCTGAGGGGGAAGAATGGAACTACACAAGTGCAGTCCCACCAACCCCAACCTAGATCTACAGGTGAGTCAGCTAAGGTCTTCAGTTGATCAAAAGTTGTCCAGCAGTGACAAATCCTTGTGCATCAGTCAGTAAGAGGATCTTACCAACTAATGGCATCAATTTAGCTGCCTTGCACTCTAATGTTGACATCAGAAGAGGCCAGGTATATCCAAAGTTTCCTTGCCACAGCTTTCCTCCTCACATATAACACTGTTAGTAAAAGAAAGACAGAGACTGGAAACCGGCAGACCAGAAAATTAATGTACATAGTTCTCTAGGAATTGGTCTAGTATCTTCCAGTGGAGGAAATGTGGTGTCTTATTCTCCTTTGCAAAGCTTTGGCAGGGTGTAGGAAAAAGGGTCCTAAAACATTCTGGAATATCCAATGATAGCTTAGAATACGTCCCTGAAGGTCATGAGCCAATGATCCACAATCACATTAAAACACAACTAGAAAGTTATCTGAACTAGTCAGGAATCAATCTCCTGTTACATCTTCTTGGTAAAGATCATTGCAGCTTCCCCAGGTTGTCAACCATCTGCAGGCCTGAACATTGTGGCATTGGTGTAGGAAAACTATTTTGTTGTGGAGTTGGGTTTCTTCCATTAATATTATACGGATTAAGAGGGTAGTCAATTTTTCCAGTTACTTCGCCTCATAGTACAGTCAAATTTCAAGGGGATAAGAAAAACCTTAAGTGAAATAGTTGTATAATTTTTGAAATGCCCAAAATAGTATCAGCCCATATCTCATGAAGATTTGTTTGGTTCATTGTTAGTGCTGGAATAGAAAGTGACGTCTTTGATTGTTTAGAAATTTAGGATGGGTCCATCTACGCAACACATTCTTTGGCTCCCAGATATGCTCTTTCAGTGCTTCTAATTCCCACATTTGGTAAATCATTTAGAATATCATCTGTCAGATCACCTGACATTATGAAAATGGGCATCAGTGTTCTAAAACATAAATGCAGCTGGTACAGATACAGGAGTTATCAAACCTACTAAATCCTACAAAGCAAAACTAATTTTGGGCACTTGCACGTGCCAAGTTTTTCCTTACATTCCATGCTTCACATCAGAGATGGTATATCTTCTATTTAAATATTGCCTTAGGGTCCATTTCTGCCTTTGGGTTTAAAGACCTAGACTGACAGCTCCAAACTCTCTCTCCCTATTAAATATCCTTGGGGAAATGGTATTTGGAAGTAGAAGCTGATTAGAAAGGAGGCTAAGGCCAGGACTGTACATCTGTTCCCAGTCAACTTGGAAAAAAAAGGAAGGAAGGAAGATGAAAAGCACTTTGATTGACGTGTCCTGGTAGATGTTAGAACATTGACCCATAACATCAGCTATAAGCTGCAGGATTACTGCCATTACTGTGTTAAGAAATTTTAACAAGGCTTCAAATAATATCTGACATGCAAGGCTGGAGGTAATGAACTTCTGAACAAATCCTGTAGATTCATACTAGATTTTGACAGTCAATTTTGTGTGAACTCCATCAAAGTAAAGAGGAGACAGATGTTAAACAGAGCAAACAATTGGAATATGTTTCTCTAAGAAAACCAGAGGGGGGGGAAATAATAGCAGGCCAATTCAGAATTAAAGCAAGAGACAGAGAAGCACGGGAAATCCTTGCTAGATTCCCCCCTTTCATGTAATATCTACTAGGCAAGATATGTGTTTTGCTAATTTTCTTTGTAAGTGAATGTTGAACTAGAAATTCTACTTTATAATATAAGCAAAATGCACAAATATCTTAATGATGTTTATCATATACAAGGCACAATAGAAATCATTGAGGTGGCATCTAACACTTGCAATAATAAATACAGTGGTACCTCGGGTTACAGACACTTCAGGTTACAGAATCTTCTAACCCAGAAATAGTACCTCGGGTTAAGAACTTTGCTTCAGGATGAGAACAGAAATCGCATGCTGGTGGTGTGGCAGCAGTGGGAGGCCCCATTAGCTAAAGTGGTACCTCAGGTTAAGAACAGTTTCAGGTTAAGAACGGACCTCCAGAACGAATTAAGTTCTTAACCTGAGGTACCACTGTAGAATATAGTTGGTAAAGCATTTTAAATGATGGAAATGCACCACTGGAGATGCACACTTACTGGTGGGAATGCCCAATCACAACTAATCATTGGGGGCAAAAAAAAAGGCATAGATATTTAATAATGATAATGCAAGGAAACAAAAATGGGATTAAAGTCAGTTTTTAAATTTAGAAGTATAAGGTATAAGCCCTCTAAAATACACACACACACACACTACAAATATTATTAAATTTGTTGATTTCTGTATGTCCATATGATTCACTCTCCACTTTTTCAGCTGTAGCTATTAACCCATCAAGTGACTTGTGGAACATGTGGATCAGATGCACACACAGTTTTGGTGCATGAAGTCACTTCTCTTCCCCATTCACTCAGCGTGAGAGACGTGTAAAAACCATTGTATGTGTGTATCAGCTAGGTGTGCATCAGCTCTCCTACATGTTCAAAAAGCCACTTGAAAGAATAAGATGATCCCTGCTGTGTGTACAGAGCTGCCATGACACTGCAACGAATAGGGAAGATTACGTTTCCCAGACAGTCCGGTGTGCCAGAAAATCTAGTTCATTGGGCAGCAACTTGAGTACATTGTAAAGGGAGGGAAAACAATGAAAACTTGACACCTAATCTATATGAATTGCCAACGCTCTTGGCTGGAATGGAAGGAAGGACATGGAGTCAAGGGCTACGGAGTTGCAGGAACAAGTGAAAGGGAATAGTAACACGAGATGGGTAACTCTCCCATCAGTCTGACCGATGATCCTTCACCAATTGTAAAATGCTTTATGTTACCCTACAGATGCTGGATTCGATACCTGGTAGCAGTCATTGCATTTGTGCTGTTAGACCTACCACGGCAAATGTCAAGATCCACCACCTTCCCCTTCTTTTAAATATTAGCCTTTTATAGCTCCGCAGTCACCAGAGAAGTGGGAAGTGAGCTGGCCTTGGATCTAAAAGATCCAAGCTAAAGATCCAAGCTAGGGTCAAACTGCTGTTGGGGGATGTTTCCCCTTGCATGCTCTCAGGCAAGAAGTGTAAGCAGTCGTCTCTTTTCCCTGATCTGCTCTGGCCCCTTCCTGCCCTTCCTTTTAAAGGACGCATGCCAGTACGTAAAGATACTCTGTTCCAGCACCAGACTGCCACAGCTCAGTGGTAGCATGCACAGCTCTGCTTTTTGCATGCACAACGTCCCAGGTTCATTCTCCAGGTAGGACAGGGGGAAGACTCCCAGTCTCAAGAGGTGCTACCAGTCAGTGTGGACAATGCAGTCTGATATTCCTAAGATATCATCTTTAATGACATAGATTTCTCCTTTTTCATAGAAGACACAGTTGTTATGGCTACTGTTGCCTGTGTAGAGATGTTAAAGAATGACAGATAGAGGGAAACCACTTTTGGTGTGTGTGTGTGTGTGTGTATGGGTATGTAGACAGAGAGAGAGAGAGAGAGAGAGAGAGAGAGAGAGAGAGAGAGAGAGAGCTGAGCACCAGGCCAGCTGTGTGTGGGCTAAGGGCATGCATTGATATTGCTGATTAAAACTTTAGTGCGAGCTCCTTTATGCTGATTATAAATGAACGACTAACGCTTCATTTTACTGTAGCAATTTTAACATGCTAATGGCCAACAAATGTTAAAATTATCTGCTATCTGATTACATCTTGAGTGACTTTCAGGCAACATTTACTTTCTGGAAGCATAACAGGAAGCCAGTTGCTGTTTTATAGCACTTATCAAAATTCAATAAAGGTTGGTTTTCTTGTAACCTCATTGTAGTATAGAAGGGAAGTAAAGGGCAAAAGGTTATTTCATCTAGAAAGGGGAGAATTGTACATATTCACCAAGCTCAAGTTACAGACGGATTTCTGATGCTCCACCTGCTAACCTTTCAGAGTTATTCTAACAATAATGCAGTTTGAAAGGCAAATTGAAGTTGTCAAAAAAGATTCGATTACATTGTTAGACATCCTCTCCAAAAATAGTCTTAAGTTGCCTGTCTCATAAAATATTTCAGAAAATATATTCTCATTCTCTATGCTTCTGTACTGAATATTAACCATAATGTGGTAGGTTTTTTTAATAAAAAAAGAAATTTCATTCTGTAGATAGGCAAAATCAGTTAATGGAAGGTAATGGAGACTCCGCTTTGTAATCTTCAGCTTGTGGCTTTCGATCTATGAAACAATTTGCCGTTTTTTGTTTTTAAGATAATACCCCATTGCCAAAACTCTGTGTATAACATTGTTGGCACTAATTCACCTAAGGATCCAGCTATATCTCTATAATGACCATTATCTAAGAAATATGTAGTTTCCTAAGAGTAATAGATCAGTAGCTAGTTTGTCGTTGTCTATATAATTGTACAAAGAAGCTATTTCCATAATAGCTTCTTTGTATAATTATATACTTATTCCATGCAATCTTAAACATGTCTTCTCAGAAGTAAGATCTGCTGAATTCAGTGGGATCCGTGCCTGGATTAGGGTTGAAGCCTCATATAGTTACTTTAGGATGTTCTTATTTGAGACCTTCCAAGTCCAAGCCCCAGTGCTCAGGTGGAATACTGCACCAGTGTCACTTTCTTCCATCTTAGAGGAAGCAGGCACCACCTGCACAGTCCATCATATTCAAAACTTCCTGTGACATGGAACACAATGGGGAAGTGCGGGTCAAGCACTTGAACAGGGCTGTGCATGCCATAACCGAGGGGGTTGGGACGCAAATGTTAACATTTGCTCCGAAGAAAGTGGGTTTATTCTATGGCTTTTGTTGCCACATGACTAAGTATATAACAAAATATACTTCAACATGCTATATATTTATGATCTAGTACTGTAGATGAAGCTTGGATTTTGTAAGCATAGATCTCTGCCTCTTCTGGTTACCGCTGGAAATGTCTCTTCTCCAAAATCCAAACATTCCTTCCCACATGTAGCTTGGCTTGTTCTGTTCTGGAACGCTGCTCTACTATGAATTAAACTTTATACCCCACATTTTGACTTCTAGACTTTTCCAGTGGTATATGTCATCTTCGGTAGACTTTTAGTCATCTTCGGTAGACTTTCTAGACTTTTCCAGCGGTATATGTCATCACCTGTATGTCATCTTCAATGGTGTTTTTGCCAAATTTCAGTAGAGGTCGCTTGCCTACTACTTTGCAAATTAATCTGGTTACATTGCGTAACTGAGACAGCTGTGTAAATTGGTAATTTGGTAATTTGATGATTTTTTGGTTCTAATATTGTTTCAAATGAATATAGCAGGATTAATATTAGGTAATTTGGTTTTATAATCATAACCGAGTCTCTATCTGGATGGGTGTGTGGCTAGGATCCTCTGGCAGAGTTTCCTCTTCCTAGGACCAAACTAGATGTTTGTAAGGGCAGACTTCCACTGGTCCTGGGAAAACCTGCTCTTTATTGCTGAATCGGAGCAAATGACAATGGTTTTGCTCCAATTCAGTGGTAAAGAGTGGGTTTTCTCAGGGAAATTGGCTGGGGAAATGGAAAACCTCTCAAACCTGTGACTAGAAAGCATGGGACAACTGGAAAACTGCTTGGGCCCATGCTTTCTGGGTGCGGCTCAAGTGAAGTGTGGATAAGCTCAAAGTGTGCATGAATGTTTGCATGTAGTTCAAATGCTGCCATAGGGAAACTGAACTGGCTCAGAGAAACAGCACTGGGAGAAGGCATGTTTAACCTTTTCCTCCTTTGCTGTTTCTTAGTGGAGCTGTCACTTCTGCACTCAACCCATTATTGCCCTGAGGAAGAAAACATATAGGCACCATACAGTTACCTACATGCTGTCTTCTGCAGGTAAACATTGCGGCCTCCAATAGATCTACATCAAAACTAGCATGAGGGAAGGACTACACTACCCTCTTATTCTGGACTCAAGCATCCTGATCTCTCAGAATATTCTCTAGTTTGCCAGAGCAGTTTGCTGCTTGCATGGGGTCATGTCATGGGTCATGTCACTCGCCTCAGGGTCTCTCTCAAGATATGCATCTCACAAGAGCTGGGGGAGATAAGGGTAGAACTGCATGATACCAGTCACTTCATGACAATCATGATTTTATTTGTCAAATTAAAGGAAGTTACTTATAATCACCCCCTGGCCAGCTCAAAAGTATGGTAAGTATAACAACAACAACTGCACACCTATGATAATTTCATCAAAATCTTCCTGCCCTTTGGTAATTTAAGAATGTAGTTTCTTTTATCATTAATTGATGGAGAATAGTTGAAAGGAAGAAATTTTTGGCAGAGGACTAAAGATATAAGGTATAAGATTCTTCAGAGCACTGGGCTGTGCTAATGTATTATAAACCTGCTTGTCTGACAATAGGATTGAGTGTATTATGAGAACATGGAGGTTCATACCCTTCAGCCCCAACAAAAGGGACCAGTTCAATCATTACAGGTTTTTCAGGTGGCATTCGTAAGGTAACTCCAGGTGGTGTACACCTGAAAAATGTAAAGGATGAGTGTGTCAAGCACATATATTTTTTACTTTGCTTGTCATGCGCTGTGATGAGCTGCAGGTCCCTCAGTCCCTTTGCTCAGTGTGTGCCTAATGTGTGGAGGGATCTTGGACAGAATGGAGTTAGCTGCTCATGTCATCTTGTACTTAGAGCTCTAGGTCAGCAGTTTGGGATAAAGAAATAGGGAAAATATATAATTGTTTCTGCTGTGCAATGAGGCTTCCAGCAACCCAAACCAGATATGAACTGTCTGACCTAGGTGTGTCTTATTGCTTCCTTCTCAGTCTAAAGTTGACTCACTTCCTTTCTAAACAAATACCTTAGTATTTTAAATCAAATGAATTCAGCACAAAATAACTGTTGCATATTGTAATTAATTTGCCTTTTACAAGTGTGGTGACCATCTCCTGCACCACTGCATCTATGTTCAACTGTAATTTCTTGTTACTATTGTTTACTATGAACTTAGCACCACTTGACATGGAATTAACATTGTTACTTAGAAATTGATTAAGAATAAATGGATATTATTTTGAAAACGCAAAACAGCATAATTTGAAGGCATTTCTCAAAGAGCAAATGAGGCTAACCTGCATGCTCATTGCTTCGTGATTCTTGCAATATCAGTTGATGAGTTGCTTTCACTGCGGGGTATGAGGGGCACACCGAGAGATCACTTGCACATTTCAAACAATTCAGCTGTGATTCATTCAGTCATCACATCATTAAGTCATCAAGTGAGCTACATGCATGTATGAATGATCTATTCTGACATAACTTTTTTTAAAAATGCAGTGTTAATCATTAGACACTACTTTCAAAAGAAAGGGTTTTCAGTAAGCCAGAACAGCTTGACATATATATAACTGTATGAGACGCATATTTAAAAGATGACAATTTTGTTTTGAGATTATGGCAGCAGCATAGAAAACTTTTGTGTACTGACAAGACCATATTAGCCGAGATTCTCGGTGATACGGCCAGATTTTTTCCACTGTAGTCCATAGACTTGGGTTGCTAATGGAACGGAGAAGCCTATATTGCCAAGCCATGGACAAACATAGCTGGCCCAGACTTCAGCTAAAAATAAGGATAATGGACATGCCTTACAAGGTTTGTGGAAAATTAATGGGGAGGGGGGAATAACAGACACCTTTCCACTATTCCTCTCTCACTCATATGGTAAGAAGTCCTGAAGCACATTTTAATTTTGATATTGAAGTATCAATGCATTAATAATAATAACAACAATAATAATAATTCTTACTTTCTTTCCACATTTTTTTTTGTTCTTTTGCAAACTTCCCCTGTAGAGGTCCTTCTGTAGTGCCATGGTGGAGGAGCTGAGGATGTCTCTGAAGTGTCAACGTCGGTTAAAACACAAACCACAGGCTCCTGTTATTGTGAAAACAGAAGAAGTTATCAACATGCACACATTTAATGACAGAAGGTTGCCAGGTAAAGAAACCATGGCATAGAGCTGGGAGGCCAAGCAACCCCAAGCACAAACTGATGTCTTTCCCCCTTCCCCCTTTTTATTTTTCCCCCCAAACCAACTTTTGCGAGAATGTTTCCTGTGGAAATATGCAAGCTGTTCAAAAATAAAATGAGTTACCTCATGCCGCTGTGTCTATGAACTAGAGACTCTGTGATCTAAGCAGGTGCAAAGGCCAGACTCGAATCACAAGCGTCACGGATCAACCAAGTTTATAAGGGGAGGGGAGGGGTGGGGGGTGGGTGGGCATTCCACCATTTGTCATGAGTTCCACCATTCCTTAATGAACGAAAGGTTCTATTTGTTTTATGGCTGGCTACGAACGCAGCCGCAGTGAGAACTAGCAGGCTCCTTTTGAAGTTCATCCGTCGCCAGGGGCTGGAGAAGGAATGAACAGCTAAAGAAACTAACTACCGAAGGAGTCTGTGAAAGATAGTAACTCAGCACTCTAGCGGGGAGAAAAAGAGGCTGCTGTGTACTGCCAAGCACCGAAAATCTTATATTTGCTGGCCAATGTCTACATGATGTTGTTCCAGCTAGCTGATACAAGCTCATTCAGTGGGAAAATCAATGCAACGAAAATGGAAACCTGGAAATAGAAGAATGGACAGATGATGCTTGACGTGTCTCTTGTGTCACTGACCTGAATAAAAACAAACTCTTAAGTCAAGCAGTAGAAAATTAAATATTTCACCTATACTGGAACTCTGTTGTGAGAGAACCCAAAGAAGGTGGGCTGTGCTTCAGATGATACACAAAGTTTCCCCCAGTTAAAAGGAAAGATGTATCTTATGATGCTTGTCTCTGAGCAATTTCTTCATTGTCTAACTGTGAAGCAAAGACACAATGGAGGCGTGGGGTTTTCTTTCCCCCTTTCTTTTTTTAAATGCCTGAGCGGGTTTGGAAAACTCGTGTTCCTGCTTTGAATTGAACTCACTGGAGCCTGTGGAATTCTCGCTACTGGTGGAAATAGGATGGGTTGTCTAAAAATTTAAAAAGAAAAAGGACAGTATGTGGAGGACTTTGAAATGGACTGCATTTCTCAATACAGTCAACAGTGTTCAAATAAGCAAAACCCTTGAACAATTTTTTCCCTCCCCCCAGAAAAGCAAGGGGGAAAAAATGTTCAGGTTTATTTGTGGAAATGCAAGATTTCTATGAAAATAGTTTTTGTATGGAAATTTTTTGTAATACTTTTTAAATCAACAATCTCAAGAACCTGCGTTCCAGTCAGGGGTGTGGTGCCAAGAGTGACTGGTAGTGCGTTCGCACCACCAACGTTTGGTGAAAACTATTTTTATCAAGGTAAAAAAAATAAAAGGGGGGAATCTTAGAAGAGAACTATTTTCAAGTTAGATAATATAAAATCTAGGTGCACTACCAATACCGCTTACTATACCACACCCCTGGTTTCCACTAGCCTGATAACATACTGTCATGAACTGATGTGTGTAAATGATGAAAGACACAGACCTCTTGACCACATTGTGATAACAGTTGAAGTGCACACAGTTTGCTGTTTGAATCCAATGCACAACATTAAAAAAACAAAAACAAGTCACACCCACATTAAAAAAAATTGTCAGTTTTTAGTTGTCTTCTGGGTAGGGTGGCTTGGGAATGCTGTGTGATTTGAGCAATGTGTGTGCAGTGCCATCAAAACTGGTACTTGTATTAGAATCTTGTTCTGCAAACACTCACTTACTTCCCATCCTTATTATAAGCAAGAATGTTAGCATCCAAAAAAGTGTGTTCAGGATTGGGGCCTAGCTACCGCACAATGCTTTTGCTACTCTTCCTTTAAAGTACTTTTAAACAATTGGGTACTAGACCTCTGGGAATGAATACCAGTTGCACAATGTGTCCTGCGCAACTTTTGTTAATTTCAGTAAGACATACACAGGAGAAGCACCTGATGATTACCCCCCATGGCCCATTTTTTTTTTAGGGGGGAGTGGAGTTACACCTATGATAATGACATTTAAAGACACACAGATGTTTCAGCTGCCCTTACGGTGCTCAGTCAGATGTGATACCATCCTAATAATTTTAACTTAGTCTTATTGTAAATTTGTATCCTGAAAATAAAATGTATAATGTTGAGATATGTAGGGACACTTGCCTACACCCACAGTTTATAAATATAGCTTTTTATTCCAGAAAAAAATATCATTTCTCTCTTTTTTTCTTTTTTAAATAAACAGAATCCAAACACTGTTTTGTATAAACAATGAGTCATCTGTGGATAACAGAAATATTTGTGGATTCAAGGCACACTTGTCATTCAAAAGCCTTCTCTGTTAAAATGTTTCACGTTTCCATTGCAAAGGGCACATGGCACCAAACAAACCAGCTTCCTGAAATGAATGAGAACAATCTTGGTGCCTCCCCTTTCCAGCTGTTCCTTGTGTGGGCATGAGAGGACTTGCATGAGCAAAAGCTCCGTTGCCCTCAAGGTACACATTCACTTCAAGTGAAAGGCAGGTAAGTCTGCCTGCTCCATTGGCACAAATGAGGAGGTCTGAGGTTGTAGATTTGGATCAGAGCCATGGATATATTTTCAGATCACTTACTTGTGGTCCGACTGTCAGTTCTAGGAGGATAGCTTCAACAGAGAAATGCTTAAAAGATTGCCACATTGGGCATTTATCATCTTTCAGGAGTCTGCCAATGCTCCCAGATGGAGCCCATATAAGACCTGGATCAGGTCAAAGAGCTTCTCTCCATGAATGAACTCTGCAATGACTGGTGTGTGTGCCTTTTTTCTTCTTCATTGCTTGAGGAGGCACATCCACATCATTTTGTGTCCTTGTATCTTTTTCTTCTCTTTTAGATGTAGTGGCCATTTTGTAATGCCACACAACCCACAGCAGCCATTTTGTGTTATGCCAAACCTCCATGGAGCCCATTTTGGGACTAGTGTCTGTGACACTTTCTCAAAAGTCCAGGGGCACCCATTGGCCCCAAACATTGACAATCCTTGATCTAGTTTATAATCCCCAGATTAGTGCAGCAGAACACTGTGTCATTATAAATGTATGGAACTGCCACAGAACCAACACGGTCTCAACAATATCCTGCACGTTTGGCCTGTTTTATCATGGTCAAACCAGAACTAATATTTCCTATGTCTCAATTATCCTTTGCATGGTCAATAGTAGGGCTGGAATGCAATACATTGCTAAGTAATTTGTTTTTCAGTGCAAAAATTTATGCTTGACCAACATCAAAATCTCTGCTCCCAATGTGTTCTGTTGTGGGTTTTCCTGACCCTCTAGAGTAGATCTGGAAGAGGTGAAGTGATGCCCAGGGTGAAGGGATTGCGCCAGCTGGAGTTTGTTGAATCCAGCCCTACATTAGACTACATTTCCCATATGAAACTGATATGAGGAACTTCACCTTTTACAACAAGAAGTGACATGAAACAAATGTTTCTTGGTTGCAATTCCTGTCCTATCTCACCAGTCCATAAAAAGTTGTGCTGAAATCCCACTGACATCAGTGTGATTTAAATTAGTCATGATTTACTTGTGCCAGTGCTTTCAACTGGACTTTAGCCCACCTAACTGTTTATGGATTGCATCCCAAGTACTTAGCTTTGCAGTCACTAAGATGATTAGAAAGACTTTAAGAGAGTGTGCAGGAAATCTTCACTACCCTTGTCCCGGTCTCCCACTTGCAGAGTATGTTTACTAGGATACCACTGTACCGTATTCCATTTTGGATTTGTTTTTGACATCAGCACCGCAGCCCAGGTCAGAAACTGGCTCAGTATAACAATCAGTACAATCCTGCACTACACGTTTAGGGAAGTTTTTAATGTTTAATGCTGTATTGTGTTTTTAATATTCAGTTGGGAGCCGCCCAGAGTGGCTGGGGAAACCCAGCCAGATGGGCGGGGTATAAATAATAAATTATTATTATTTATTATTATTTAATTACTATGCCCATCAGCTCATAGAACTGAGCTGTAATCTAGTTGAAATGCAGCTATCATATCACATTGCTCTGCTACCACATGTGATGTAACAATATGGATATTTCACTTATGCTGACTCTATTAACTCTGGGACTTGGGTCTATGGAACTTCGTCTCACAACGCCTACTGAAATTTTCAGTTAGTCCTTTCAGTTAGGGAATCCAACATTAACTATAAACCTTTTAACTGCTGCCACTGAAATAAACCCTTTATACCTTATGAGGACCAGCTGCCTCATTCCTATGGTTTAGGTATGGCACTGACATCATCCCGAGAGACAGGCTTATAAAATGAACAACGTTCATATGTTTATTAAGATAATTGTTTCCGTAAGGGAATACAGTGGTACCTTGGGTTACATATGCTTCAGGTTACATACGCTTCATGTTACAGACTCCACTAACCCAGAAATATTACCTCGGGTTAAGAACTTTGCTTCAGGATGAGAACAGAAATCGTGCAGCGGTGGCGCAGCGGCAGCAGGAGGCCCCATTGGCTAAAGTGGTGCTTCAGGTTAAGAACAGACCTCCAGAATGAATTAAGTTCTTAACCTGAGATGCCACTGTAAAGTATTTCAGGTGGTGGGCAGGAAAAGATTTCTTCAATGTATAGTTCTTAGTTAAACAGGTTTAAATGTGCTTAGTTATAATTGATAAGATTCAGGAGAATGCTCCCTTCAGCCAAATAAGCATTCAACACCTTTCCACATTTCCCCTTTCCCTAGCACCAAGCTGATCATAACCAGAAACAGATGCTGCCCAATCTTCCTGCTGTCTCTGGCTTCTAAGGTGGTGCAGATATTTCAAGGGCTGCTTAATAAAGTACTCCCTATGGTCAGGCCTCTACTTGAAGCTCTATGGTGCCTGCTCTGCTTGAAGCTCCACCACAACAAGCCCACCTTCCTTTCCTCAGAAAATGGAGGGAACTGCCTTACACCAAGACAGACCAATGGAGCATCCGACTCAATATAAACAACAACAAGAAATTTCACCATGAGGTCCAAGAGTGGGTTACAACAATTTAGAAATATAATATTCAAAGCAGTTAAAGCATCTGGTAGTAGCTTTCCAGGGCTTCAGTCAAGGATTTTTTCTCAGTCCTGCTTGAAGAGGCCATGGATGGTACCTGAGATCTTCTGCATGTAAACAATTTGCTCTACCATGTAGCTATGTGGTTTCCCCTAATGGGCACCAGCATCAGTCCTCAGATTCTCTCCCAGAATGCCCTCTCAGACTCAAGCTGTCTTCAACTGGTCCCCCCCCTTTCCTCTCTTACTGCGAATGCTTATACAGTGGTACCTCAGGTTACATATGCTTCAGGTTACATACGCTTCAGGTTACAGACCCTGCTAACCCAGAAATAGTGCTTCAGGTTAAGAACTTTGCTTCAGGATCAGAACAGAAATTGTGCTCCAGCGGCGCAGTAGCAGCAGCAGGCCCCATTACCTAAAGTGGTGCTTCAGGTTAAGAACAGTTTCAGGTTAAGAACAGACCTCCAGAACGAATTAAGTACTTAACCCGAGGTACCACTGTACACCTGTCAGTGACTACTCTGGACTTATTTTGGTGACTAACCAAAATAGAGACCTTCTAACCACCAATAAAACTGGTTGACTCCTTCACCTATCTAGTTGTATTATAGTACCCATTCTGGCCCACATATAAACAAAGGTATCTTCTCACATTATCAACTTGAAGGCCTCCCCCAACCCAAGTAACTGTTACAAAGGCAGCCACGGCTATCTTCTCAATGCAAAGTAGCAGAACAGACTTCTGGCCTACTTGGTTATATTATAACCTTTCATGTGGCGTATAAGTATTACAAAACCTAACCAAACATATACAAAATTCCACGTCATTCCATATTACAATATGAAACTAGGCCACGTCAATGTGTTGTCAAAGGCTTGGGGAGCAGGGAGTTGTTAAAAATAGTTGACAACCCTATTTGCATTTATACAATGAATTTGTCTAATGAATAGAACAACACTGCCAAGGAACTGTTTATCAATATCATATTTGGGTTACATTATGTGTGATCGTCTAGCATTGTACATTTGTTATACGACGCTCAAGCATATTTATCTACTACCACAATGCAACAGTCATAGCCATAAATTTCGCTAGGAATAATATATAAAACCCCATTTGAAAGTCAGGCTGGCTGATTTTATTGGTGAGAATCTTAGTCCTGTCATTGTTTCCTTCCTGGGCATGATGACATACACTGGAGCAAACACAACTTTGTCCAAAATTGCATTTATACATGCAAAGAGGAATGCCTAAATTTCTTCCTCTTACTTTATGTTGCTCAACCTTTTAACCTTTAAGTTGATTTAATTTTCATGTTACTTTGTCTCTGTTGATCAAGTTAACTAACCTATTTATCTTAAGAATTTTTTTTCCCATAGGTGTCTTGTTGGCTACCATGAGAACTGAAAGCTGGACAAGATGGTTCCATTGGCCTCATCCAGCAGACTCTCCTTATGTTATGTTAGCTAAGGACCCAAAGTGCCACACTGTGTAATGAATACAGTATTTGTGCCCTCATGCCATTTGAGTGACGCTCATTGATAATCATTACACATGTTAGCAGAGGAAGAAGATATCTTTAAGGTTACTTTAGAAACAAAGCCTTTTAAGGAACTGCAAGCCAATCCTCAAGAGATATAGACAAGCAGGTGCAATTATGGAGATAAACTTTTAAAAAGTAAATTGGAGAGTTTAATTGGGTCTGTGACAGTACAATGGAATTTGCATTTGTTATACAATTGGAGAGGTTTGTGTACACAACTACAGAGGGGTGGAAACAGATGGTGCAACAATAATTAAATGTTCTTTTTAATCAGTATGCTTCTGATTCACTTGCCTATCCCCCAAACAGAGAATATGTCCTGGTTTGTACAGGTCCATTGACATTTTAGGGGGGGGGCAGTGATATATTATGGTGCCTTTGAGGGGGCAAACCTTGTTTGTTTACAAATGCAGAGCATAGCAGAAACAAATATAGTATAGCTATTTGCCCAAAGCAGAATCAGTACCTGCTCCAGAGACCTATAACCCAATATCACATGAGGGTGTTTTGAGATCTCAGCCTCTGTTTCCACCATCCAGGAATGTCATTTCAAACATTTCCCCAGGAAATACAGTGTAGCTCCAGTCTTTGATTTCTAGGAATGACTTTCACATGATTTGAAAGGATGAAGAGTTTCTTAGTGCTATTAATGGACATTATTAG